TCCTGACGTTCCTGTGTCTGATCACGTCCTTTGGCTGTGATTTATTCTTGAAGGGATTTTTTATTATTATTATTCTTTTATTTTTTTATTTTTTTTTATTCCATTCAAAGTTCCTGAAGTGTCACTGGTGAAACCATCAACACAAGGTCCTGTGTTCCTGCAGTGGAACTGTTGAACCTCCACCCAGGCTCCTCCATCATCGTCTCCTCCTCTGTCCTCTGTAAACTCCCATAATGCCTCCTTACTTTCTTTAAATCCTCCTCTCTCTCTCTCCCTCCCCCCCTCTCGCTCTCCCCCCCCCTCAGTGATCCAGGACGTGGACACCTCCTCTCTGGAGGCCAACTACCAGAGCTTTGCCAGTCTGATGGAGCAGCGGTTAGCTGAGCTCTTCCTGGTCGCGGGCAGACAGGGGTCTCAGGCGGCCCGATCCCGGCGGGCCACCACGGTTGGAGGCTACACGGTGCAGGTGAGCGACCCCTCCTGGTCAAAGGATGTCTCTGTGGCATTAATTACAAAAAAAAAGACGGTCTTCAAACATCTTCGTGTTTAGAGTGACCTTACACATTTCAACCTCTAGGGGGCGTTTAGCTGCTTTTAAGGTGTTAGCAGCCCATTGACGAACAGGAAGTGAGTTCATCTGAAGCGACCTCCGTCAGATCGGGTTTCTATTTACGTCCTTATTGTGAAAATGAAGACAAGGATTTACGTCCTCCGAGATTTATGACACCACCTGCAGGCTTTAATGGGAAGTCACGGATGACTGGTTTTATGACTGCGGAGGGGGAGGAGGGGTGAGGAGAAATCATCCAGCCGTTTAATAACGCACGTCCCTACCCGCTTTTTTTTTTTTTTTTTTTTGTGACAAATCAAATTAGCCGTCCTGATCCGATCACTCGTTTGTTCTTCAAATTAAAAGTCCGACGTTTGATCTTCCAGGAGGGAAGATTGAGATTTCAAGTGACTCCGTTTCCCTGGAGTGTTTTCACTGAGCGTACGTGATTGGTCAGACTCCTGAGACCCAGACCCAACCAGAGTCTGAAGTGTTTTTTTTAACCACTCCCTCAGATGGTGAGCATGCGTCGACTTCCTGGACCCAAGAACCCCGCGGAGATGACGTACTACGCCCAGCTGAACGGCGCCCCCATCACCGGGACGGCGGCGGCCAAGACCCTGAGCAGCCTGGACTCTCAGACCATGGCTCTGACTCTGGGCTACTTCGTACAAGTGCAAGCCGAACGTAAGTGTCAGAAGTCATTTTCAGGGGAAATTACTGTAGTATACTGCATACTGTAGTACTACAAATATTACTATGAGGTACCACGTTTCGGAAAACACTTTTGTTTTTCGCATAAATGAAAGAAGAGCTGGAGTTCCTGGTCAGTGCGTTAGCCAACACTGTTGGAAAGTTTTTGACCAATCAGGACGCTGCACTTGAAGACCAGTGACCTCTGGTCATTCTGACACAGTTGCCCAGTTTGGGTCGGGCAGTACATGGATTTGGGCCAGATTTCCAAACCAGGGAGGTCATGTGACCCACATCATTTTGGTGTCCAATCAAATTTGGACCAAAAGTGAATGTCTTTGTCTGCCGTGTCTCCAGCCGTGGTGAAGACTCCGCCCACTAACCTGTGGATCATGGCGGGTCTGCCGCGCTCTTCCTCCTGGTGGTGGTGATTGGGATGGTGACCTTCATCCTGTGTCGGAGGAACAGAGTCATCTTCAAGACCGGGGCCTTCAGGTCCTTCAAGACCCGCTCCAAGGTAAGGGAACACTCAGACTCACGCCCCCTGGTGGTTATGCTGGGCGATGTTCCACTTGTGGAAGTCCAGCCGAGCCTGAACGACAGGGACCCCGACGCTCATTTGTCGTCTCTGTCGGTGCTAATCACACTGACGTCGGGCCTTTACTGCACATCAGCTCGTCTTAGGTCGGCTGTAAATCACTGGTTTCAGATGAGTCTGTGTTCATTGGCGCCCTCTTCAGGTCAAGGTGTAGAAGCCAGGAGCAGCTGCGGACTTGAATCAACTTTAAAAACAATTCAATCCTGTAATGAAAGTCATTTTAAAAGTAAAAGTGATTTTTTTTTTTTCAAATTCTAAATTCTAAAAACCAACCGTTTTATGGATATTTTTCTTTTTTTTTTTTGGTCTCAGTCAAGTGTTTTAACCAGAGCTTGAAACAGACGGACACAGTTTTTACTGCACTGCAGAGATGGAGCAGGTGTCAATCAAACCTGAGTGATTCTGTTCTGTTCTGTTCTGTTCTGTTCCGTTCCGTTCTGTTCCGTTCTGTTCTGTCCTGTTCTGTTCCGTTCTGTTCTGTCCTGTTCCGTTCCGTTCCGTTCTGTTCTGTTCTGTTCTGTCCTGTTCCGTTCTGTTCTGTTCTGTTCTCTTCTGTTCCGTTCCGTTCCGTTCTCTTCTGTTCCGTTCCGTTCTGTTCTGTCCTGTTCCGTTCTGTTCTGTTCTGTTCCGTTCTGTTCCGTTCTGTTCTGTTCTGCTCCGTTCTGTTCTGTTCTGTTCTGTTCTGTCCTGTTCCGTTCTGTTCTGTCCTGTTCCGTTCTGTTCTGTCCTGTTCCGTTCTGTTCTGTCCTGTTCTGTTCCGTTCTGTTCTGTCCTGTTCCGTTCTGTTCTGTTCTGTTCCGTCCCGTCCCGTTCTGTTCTGTTCTGTTCCGTTCCGTTCTGTTCCGTTCCGTTCTGTTCTGTTCTGTTCTCTTCTGTTCCGTTCCGTTCCGTTCTCTTCTGTTCCGTTCTGTTCCGTTCTGTTCTCACTCTTCATCCTTGTCTCTCTCGTCTTTCTAGGCCTCTTATCGCAGAGAGGGCAGTTACCACCATCAGGTAGGAACACAGCTGATGATGGACTTCATGGATGAATGAGTGAACGACCTGAACACTGTCTCTGCTGCTGCCTTTGTTTTCACTGTTACCGGGTAAACTTTCTGCACGCGTCTGCGGTCTTTGTCTCCAACCTGTTTATTGGTCAGATTTAAGTGGCTCCTGGTTGGAGTTGATGGAGTGGATTAACACTCGGCGGCTGGTTGGTGATAAACAGGAAGTGTGTGTGTGTGTGTGTGTGTGTGTGTGTGTTTATTTCTGCTCATAAACACCAATAACGTGGAGGCTGTTTAACACCTGGAAAACAAACCAATCTGGTTTTATTTGGTAGATTCCATAAAACAGTGATGTCATCGACGGGTCACTTCCTCTGACGCTGCACTTTTCTTCTCCAATTAAAAAAGTTCTTAACAGGAGGAAAAAAAAAAACTAGCTGCGGAATTAGCCCGTGTCCAAATTGCTAAAGGTTAGCCAAGTGTAGCACAATCGCTCCATTAGTACGAAAATAAATAAACAGTTCTGGGTGAAAGTTTGGTCAAAGAAAAGAACTTGATTAAAAACCAAACCAAAAACTACGAATGCTAGCTAAAATAGAGCTAATACGTAGCCTAAAGATCATTAAAAGTGCAACATTCTCAAACCCAAAAGGAAACGTGGGAAATAAAAAACAAACTGACTTATTTTAACACTGTATTTTAACTAAAAAGAATTTTGGAAAAAAAAATGAAAATGTCAAAAATGTCAAGACTATACATAGCTATATCTGTATCTGTTGATATCGGAATCGGAAATCAAGCGTTTGGACGATATCGACAAAGAGTAAATCTGGGACGTCACTATTTAAAATGTCAGAATTTGCTGTTCTAACATTTACAGACGACACGATTACGACAATGTTCCAAAAAAACGTCGATGCCCCACAGGTTGAATACATTAGCTGTGTGTGTGTGTGTGTGTGTGTGTGTTTACCTTCCTCCTACCACTTATTATTCTCCGTCTAACTTCAACATTTGGTTGAACACACTCTGGAGGTTGTGTTTGTTTGCACACACACACTTTCATATATAAATATTCAATTCCTGCTCCTGTTGAATTTTACTCCGTTCCGTGAAGCTTTTTCTTCTGTGCTTTAAGGCTAAAACCGCCGCTCCTCTCCTCCGTGGTATTTACTCACCCGTTCTCCTGAGCCGAGCCCTGCACGAGAAGATGAACGTTAATGTTTTACTAATGGATTTTAGTCGAGCTGCGGAGACTCGAGATTTTCTCCATATTTTAAAAGTTTTTTTCTCAGGTTTTCTGCAGATGCTGATGTGCTTCTTAGCTACGTTAAGAAAACTTTTCCTACCTAGCTAACGTTAGCTCTGGTCTCTGCACCAGGACTGTTGTAGCTAACATTAGCTCTTGTGTCTGTACCAGGACTGTTGGAGCTAACGTTAGCTCTGGTGTCTGTACCAGGGCTGTTGTAGCTAACGTTAGCTCTGGTCTCTGCACCAGGACTGTTGGAGCTAACGTTAGCTCTGGTGTCTGTCCCAGGACTGTTGTAGCTAACGGTAGGTCTGGTGTTTGTACCAGGACTGTTGTAGCTAACGTTAGCTCTGGTCTCTGCACCAGGACTGTTGGAGCTAAAGTTAGCTCTGGTCTCTGTACCAGGCCTGTTGTAGCTAACGTTAGCTCTGGTGATACTTCCTTTATCTATTTTCCCAAATACAGTAATTTTTGAGAGATTTATTTGCGACTCAAGTCGTTGTTTTTTATCTTTTTACTTCAATCAATTCTTCAATTCCAGTGTGAATGAACCTGTGAAGTGCGGACTTGAACCACTGACCTTCTTGCTGTGAGGCTCCACCTCTGAACACATTTTCTCTTGTAACACGGTGTTTAATCAGTATTAGCCACAAATATTACTTCATTCCGGTACCTTTTTTCCGTCTCTCCTCCTCCTGCCCCCACCTGCCCCCTCCTGCCCCAGGAGGTGTTTTTATCCAGCGGAGCAGACTTCTGTAGACTCCTCCTCTTCCTCCTCCTCCTCCTCCTCCTGCTGCTGGGTCTTATTTGACTTTTTAAATGTACTTTTTTCTCCACTGCAGCTCAGTGCTGCTCTTACATCAGAGCAGCCCCCGGGGGGGTGGGGGGGGGCGGGAGAACGAAGCGTATCTGGTCCATCTGCTGTTCTTCATCATCAGACTGATGTTGGCTCAGGCTGGGAGTTAAAATTAGAGGCGAAGCTGGTTTGATATGGAGAGGCACGAAAAAAAAATGACAGTGTAGATTATGGAGCAGAAGGAAGGTCGTCCTCTGACTTCACACTGTGTTGGGGGGGCGGGGGGGGGCGAACCTCCCTCCTTTCCTCCTT